ACCAGCTGTTCTCCTTCAGGCTTAGATAATTAAAAACTTCCACGGTTACTTCTAACATATTCTTGGCAGTTGGGGCTGTCTTTCTTCATAAAATGGGAGAATTTGCTAAAGGGGAAAAATCCAAAAGGCAAACCGTCTCTCAGACCATTTGTGTTAGGGGTGCAATGAGTTGCCCCTTCACAATTGTGGTCGTACCTGTACGTCACAGTTGGATAGATTATTATTTGAAATATTACTGTTGTATTTTTTGTGATGTGATTTATATGAAATAAAAAGTAATTGAAAATATAAAAAAATGAATTGAGAAATATGTTTATGATGTAAGTGAAATATTATTTGAGATAATTTAGCAATCCAAACACAATCATATATTATGCTCTTATTGCACCCTTTTTCTTGATCCTTTGGTAGAGGACTATTTGATTGGAAGTTTATCAATGGCTAATCACTGCTGGCTGTTGAAGGTTAAGGCTTAACAGTCAATGCAAATTTGTTCAAAAATTTATTTGGGACAAAATACTTACTTTGCCCTTTAAAGAAGTTATCTTTAAGAGCATTAGTTATTTTAATTGACAACTCATATGGTTATTGTGAAAGGCATAGTCAGCAATTTCTAGATACAACAACTGTTGGAAGCATTCCATGGTCGATATAACATCGTCGTTGAATTTTGTCTATTGACAAATGGAACTTAGCAAATTTTTTTTGGAATAAGAAGGGATCCGTGGGTGATGAGTGCATCATACATGCACAAGTATCGATTTGATTTCTATATCTGTCGTAATTAGGTTTACATTTGGACAACACAAATGCTTTAGTTTTGAAGGTTACAGATATGCATAAAATACAGCGGTGTTTAAAATCCTTTGCCCCCTTTTTGCTTCTTAAATCCCATCCATTTCTTGTTAGGGAAAAAAAATTCTCAAGAGGTAAAAATACTTACAAATTTGAGAAAATTAGTGACCAACTTTTCAAAATTACAGCGTATTTAAGTGTCGTTATATTTATTGCATTGTTTTTATATTCTTCATGGAATTAGAAGCATTTATTGCTCATCACTAATTCAAATTAGTTGAAAGGGGTAACATGAAATCTAAAAATAGTTCAAGGAGATATATATATATATATTTTTTTGATATCAGTTGTATAACTTATATTATCCTAATCTACAGAAGAGGAGGAGTCTAAGAAAACTTATATGTTAGGAATTAATAAATATGCAGACCTAACAAAATCAAAAGGTACGACGGCAACACCTTTAATTTTTTTTTTTTTTTTTTGCTGTAAATGAAATTTGAATCCTCACACCAACCGACACCAGGTGGACACTAAGCTTGGCCCAGTTGCTGTTCATGGAGATGCAAACCCCCCAGTTTTATTACCTTTAAACATTTCTTGGATTCTCTGTCCCCCCCGGTGGACAAACTCCATGGAAGGAAGGACCACTATTGTGAAGTGTGACTCACGAGACGTCTCGAAATTTGCTTTCTGTGTTACTGTTATTTAAGTCCGAAACTTCCCACAATCAGTCATTAACTGAGTCCGAAACTTCCTACTGTCTATCATTCGTTAACCGACACTTCTTTTAGCGGGTGGCTCACTTGAAAAGTAAAAAATACTAGTGTAGTAGTTCTTATACATATACTTGCAGCGCACCCATTTTTCCTTGATTGTCTTTACCATGGCAACCCCTGATACTGAATCATCAGCGGCGCATTATTCTGATTCCTTGAAGCCTTTACTCGATCAACTACCCAAAATAAGCTATGGAGATACCTTTACTCTGTACCAGTGGGAAGGATTTTGGTATGCACCTCGCCATTTGGAAGCTGCAAAATCAGTTCAATCAAATTTTGAAGCAAGGGACGACGATATCATCTTGGCTTCCTCTCTAAAAACAGGTACCATTTGGCTCAAGGCACTCCTTTTTTGCATCATGGGGCCTAAAATTAGCGACATCAATGAAGACCCTTTACTCAAAAACCATCCTGCTGTCTATGTACAGACCCTGGAGACCCAAACTTACCTAGCAAATCCTAATCCTGATCTCTCTAGCATGCCGACACCAAGGCTCTTTCACACTCACATGCCCTATAACGTCTTGCCTGACTCCATAAAAAATTCCAAGTGTAAAATGGTTTATATAGTCCGCAATCCCAAAGATACCTTGGTCTCCATGTGGCATTTTTTTAGTACTGTCAAGCAATATCCTATTCAGGTGTTATTTGAGGGATTCTGTAACGGAGTACATCCATTTGGTCCATTTTTTGATCATGTGTTACAATTTTGGAATGAGAGCTTAAGGGCACCAGAAAAGGTGCTTTTCCTCAAGTATGAAGAGCTGAAAAGTGACCCGAAAGGGCAAGTCAAGAAACTGGCTGCCTTCCTCGGACGACCATTCGAAAATGAGGAGCAAGTTGATCAAGTGTTATGGAGGAGCAGCTTGGAAAGGCTTAAGAACTTGGAGGTGAATAAGACTGGGTTCGACCCCTGGGCTCAAATGCCTAATAGCTCTTTTTTCAGGCGCGGTGTGGTTGGGGACTGGAAGAACGCCCTTACCCCTGAGATGGAAGAAAGGCTTGACCAAATTACAAAGACGAAGTTGGCAGGATCGGGTCTTGATCTGGTGATATGATATGATCCTCGACCTTATCCTTCCCTCTGCATAGCCATCTCAATTCTCAAATGTGTTGAATTAGTAGTCTTCATCCTTTACCAGTTGTTGAAGACCTGATGACATCTTTCCTTGAATTCCCAGGTCTTTGTTGTCCCCTGTTGAGTGTGAAAAATAATTTGTGTCTGCTTGATTTACAAAATGTATCAACCAACACTGGTGATTCTGCAACCATTTATTGTTATTTCCTTACAATCCCTCTTTGTCTGTCTAATAAAGCATAGTTAGCATTATTGCTAGCCAACAATTATTGACCATATATTCTTGGACATATGTTTTACGTCCATTTCGACGTGCGCGTGATGAACATAGCTAAATTTTATATATACATTACGTGTACTTGTGCAGAAACAAGATTATGAGTTTCTATACAAGTTCTTGTACAAGTAAATGTGTGCAAATTCGGATGCAGGAAAGCAAAGAAAAAAAAGAATGTGTGCAAGCAGTATAGAGGGCTTCACATTATCATCAAATTTTGATTTTTTCTTTGGGCAAACTGATTTTTCTGTATCGCGTACAAGTATTGATGATCGTTTACCAATAGGCAATAATCCTTGGCTCAGGTTGCCTACTCGAAATTCTAGGCATGATTCCATCGTGGTCACGATATATGATAGTCAGTACTCCCTCCGTCCCACTTTGATAGTTCTGTTTTCCTTTTTTTGTCCTAAATTGTAATCAACTTTTCAATTGAAGAATATAGTTATCTTTTAATTTCTCTAAAATACCCTTATTTAATGTAAGTTGTTATTATTATAAACTACCTTATTTAATATAGATTGTTAGTATTGAATATAACCTACCCCATTTAATGCATTTAGATTTTTCAAAACATATTGATATATGAAAAGCCAACTTTATTTAGTGTATGGGTATTTTAAAAAAATAGTAATTTAAATTTGTTTTTTTAACAAAATTAAATACTTTTTCTTAAACTGTGTGAAAAAAAAATTAGAATTATCAAAATGGGACAGAGGAAGTAATTGATAGGGGGGCCTATTCCTCTCGCGGTGCCAACCAAAAGGATTCTTGATAAAGAAATTTCCAGGTTTTGTTTGCCACGCCCCCGCCGGTCTCCACATAGCATACCCTTCGCATTCGGCAGTGTAATAAAAGCTGTGAATCCAAGAATCTAACACTCCCGCTTGAATTTGATAGGCCATTGAGTTGCCTTTTAAAGCAATTACGTTTCACATCATCAAAGCCACACATATGCTCATTTTCTTCGAAGAATCCAGAGAAGGGTTAAGTGTACCGGCGATATAAAGACCACTATGCTTCAGTAGCCAACAACGTCCGTATATAAGCATGATGACTCTGATTAAATTCACAACTATCAGCTATATACGTCTGGAAGACGGCAGCAAAGTTTCTTGCCTTCTTTATCCCACCTGAATTCGCAAACAAACCTAGTGGTCCTCAAAAGGTTCGTCTTAAAGCGAAAATGGAAATCACCATTTACTGCAATATCATGGAATCCCAGATCATCCTCTGAAGAAAAACAATGAAATTTTAAGTGATTTAAGTGTTGTCCAGAGCATGGTTCAAACTTCAAAGTCGCGGTGATGGGCTGGATCATTCCACATCGATCTCAACATATCGGGCATAGTTTCGGTGAGACGCAAATTTTGAAACATTTAATATTCTAAAAATTATGAATAATATTCAAAAACATGCTAAACAAAAATAATTAAAAAAATTAAAAGAATATCTGTAAAATATAAATTTGCGAGTTGACTCGAGATGACTCAAACCAACTCAGTCAAGACTATCCGTATAGGAGATTTCTTGGCTGAGTCCTCGATGAGTCAAGTATTTCGGAATCATCTCGTTTCGATATCGAATCAGAGGGATCCGTTTCAAAAACGACTCGGCCGAGACTTTGAACCATGGTCCAGAGACCATTCACAACATGAAACTTCGTATATTTCACCAATACCATGTGTGGTTTGAAGAAAATACCATTGGTTCATCGGGAGACTGTAGGACTGATGGCCACGGTTATCAATTTTGGAAGATTAGAGGACTTCCCAGAAAATAAACTACTGAAAGAGTGTCGACCAAAAAATAAAAAATAAATAAAAATATGATTTGTAAAGATATTACATTAGCCAGTGGGAAGAGAAGCCCTTAAGAGTCCTCTCTGTTATTAAATTCATGATTTGAATCCTGAATTTGATAGTTGCACATGGAAAGAGCATGAGAAAAGGTGGGAGGCTAAAAAGGGTAGAAAAAAAAGGAATTATATCCCTGTTCTCTTCAATTTTAGTCATATGACTGCAAAGGAAAGATTATTGGGAGAAGTCAATGAAGTGATGGTTCTTTCTTTTTTTCCTGTCTTGCAACTGATGAGTAGCCTTCAATCAATTTCATTTTCGAGTTCATTGAAGTTGATATTAGATTTGTTGCGTTCGGTATGACATCAATTAGACTAATGCAGGATGATCAGCATTGGGTGCATTAAGCTGTTAAAGTTAACAATAATATTCCAGAGTGGGCTTATTGGATTTCCAGAGAGTAATGGATTGAAGGTGGCCTTATAAAGATCCGGCCCACAAGAACATGGAGGCGCAGTCTGGAATATGAAAGGTACATTGAAACGCCAGCTGTCGATTGTTTACTTTTTCTTTCCTTTTCTTTTCTTTTTTTCTTTGTCACAAAAATGGTTGTGCCGGAGTCAATCCAAACACAATATTGCATGGACCTCAATCCCACACGTGGATGTTCTTTTGTTCCCTGTGGCAATGTTCGTTTCTTCAACTAAAACAAATGACCAATCAAGAGGCAGAAAATAAAAATGGTTTGTCTTTCCTTAGCACAGACTATATTGTTTTGGTTCATCGTTTATTTAGCTATAAATGCAAGTACGAGAAGGAGAAGACAAAACATGGGAGGAAGAAAATAAGCACTCTTAATTTGATAGTTTAGTAATTTTAATTTCTAAAGTGTCTTTTCTATATTTATTCCCCGACCCCTATTGGCTGGCAGAGTCCAATGCCAACAAGAATTGTTAACAAAATTAAATACTACTTACTTACTTATCAAGCCACATCTTGGGATGGGATGACCTGTTTTAGAAATTAAATTAAGTCATATTCTCTCTCACTCTCACACACTAGTCATTTGTTTGTCCCCTTGCCAACAAGCATCTCAAAAGAAATGTTGACGAGGAATTGATAAGCCTGATGTCCACCCCTATAATTATGATTCTTAAACTGTGAATTTACAAGCAACGGAGAACATAAAGAAAGACAGCAAGAAGACAGAACTTTTGCATCCCCCAATCGCCGACTAACTACATATAAAGTGAAGAAAATTGATGCATTGGCACAACACACGCACCACCGTTGCCCTACTCAGAACAAGAAGCAAGAACAGTAGTTTAAACTACAAAAGCAAAAACAAAATGCGGCAGAGCAAATGGGAGGTTTTTTTTTTTTTTTTTTTTCCCTCTCTCTCAAAACATTTTTCATACAACAAAGGAAAAAAGAAGCAATGAGCCCTTTGCCACTTTTTGCCCTTTTTATCCTTTTACTTTTTTAACTCCACTCTAAGCTCAGAAAGCCGCTCCCTAATGAGCACATTCCATACTCTCTTCCCCAGCCCAGCGTGGGAAACTCTTTACTACCGAGTACATTGCACTAGAAAGCATTCCATTCCACCACATCTGTACAGCCACACCAGAAACCAACTCCCCCAATCCAATCCGGACGCCTTGTCTGGATTAGGTCTTTGGTCGGCACTCGGTGTTTATTTTTACATTTCCCCAACACAGAAAAAAAAAAAAAAAAAAAATACTCCACCACTTGCCACCTGAAAAATGTTTCACGTGAGTCGAAGCAATGGAGGAGATCAGATCTATGGTCAGAGTTCACACAACCACCTCTACCACTACTACTCCATCGATACGACGCACATTTATCAATAATAATAACCAATAGTTTATCCATCCATTAATCGACCAATGTAAAGTATGCAAGCAAAATGACTACACGTACAAGCCTGTCTATTTGTAACTCTCTCCACTATAGAACTTGTGAGCATATATTATTACAAGAAACAAAAGGGTCAATAGAATACAATGGGTTAATCCCAACCACAAGTTCCAAGCGCTTCCCCAACTTATAAATAATAATAATATATCATCATTTGTTAAACTTCACACCTAAGCTAACCTATTCTGTTTGCAAAATATTATTATTAATTAATTAATGCACCAAATCCTATCTCTTCCTACTTTGTCGCATCAATTTAACAAACCCAATACTAACCGCGAAACAAATGCATTTGAATGCACATATCTTCTTCAAAACAGACGAGTATATCAAGTTTCTAATTTCCCAAGTCAAAAAAAATGCTTTGTTTGGATTGCATTTTTCTGGATCTTTTATAAAAAAAATTACTATAGCGATTTGACGTAGATAAGATAAAAAGGTGAAAAATTGCAATCCAAACACACCCTCTAGTAAAAACCTTGGAAGACAGCTAAAAACTCTCATAATTTTTTTCCCCCTTAGCCTTAATGAAGCAACAAAATCAGCACAAAAATGGGAACTCCAGTGATTGACCAATAAATCAGGAAACCGAGCCAATGAAGATTTGCCACGCCATGCGTACACAACGGGTGTGGGAGTGAGTGTATTCTTTACATTCAACCGTAATTTAAGGCAACATTATTCGTTTTAGAATGTTGTAACACTTTGGACCAAAATCTGACATTTTCTTGAATGGTAAGTGTATTTGGGATAAAAAATTTTTTTTTAAGGTATTGTGATATTTTTTGATGTGATGTATATGAGATAAAAATATGTTTGAAAAACATGTTGACGATGCAAAGCAAGCAAGTTAGTGTGTATAAATAATATTCAAACCAAACACAGTAATTAAGCCAAAATAATGAATACGTCATCAGCATTGATGATAATTATCTAATCTAAGCAAATAAAGTCCCCGTGTCAACTCACCCCAACTCAACCATATTCAACCAAACACTAATAAATATGGATTTACTGGAATATTGCAAAATGGGTTAAATTTTGAATTAAAACTAATAAAAATAAAAATAAAAAAATAAAAGAATGCTTACCCGACTGGAACTAGTCACGAAAGATGACCTTCTCCGCCATGTCCAACAATGGTTTCAAGCAATCCGGAGAAAATTTCCTCGCAAACATAAACGAATAAGTAGAATTTGAAACCCGGAGCTCCTGAATAAGCTGCGGTGACACCTCAACGGGTCGGTAGGTATGCGGGTGCCCATCCGTACTCCCGGTCCAGTTGACCCGAGTAAGAGTATAATGTGTGGCCCCATCCGGATCCTCCATGGACAAAAGGGTCGGAAAGTAATGCTCCTCCGGGTAGCAAGAATGTATATTCAAGCAAGGCAACCTAAACTTTCTCCATAACCTCCTCTCCCTGATAACCAACAATGCATGTTCCCGGTTCAAGATAAAGAACTGAGACCCGATCCGGAACCGATCAAAAGGCACTTCCGGATGCATCACGTCTTCCCCTCTGGCGACGTACCTGTCCCATAACTGCGGCTCGTCCGATAATATCTCGATATAACTGCGGTAGATGAGGGACAGAGTCGGTGCCGATTCGGATGACCGAGATGACTCGGAGAGTGGCTTGGTGAGGAGCGAGTGGTACACAAAGTCGAAGGAGTGGAGCGGGATGCAATGCTGGGAGATTAAGGCGAAGTAGAAGTTCAAAGGGTCGTCGAGGAGGGCGGTGGCGAGGAGGCGACGGGCGGCGGCGATGAGGGTGGGGGAAGCGCGTTCGGTTTTCTTAGCGGGGATGAATCGGCCTTCGAAGACGCCTCCGGGAGGATTTATTTTCACGGATGGATCGGCGTGGATGTAGATATTGTAGAGGTTGGAGGAGTGGTTGGCAAAGAATTTCTCCCAGAGAGGGGCGAAATGGAGGTCGGAGTTGGTGAGGAAAAGGAAGGCGATCTTGGGCTTGGCTAAGGACGGGTTGGTGGAGCCAAGGCGGATGTGGTGGCGGGGAAGGCGAGGATAGTGGTGGTTGTCGTTGGCGAGGTGCAAGGAGGCGAGAGAGGCGCGGCGGAAGAGAGCGAGGTCGTCGAGCTCGTCGGGGAGGGAGATTTGAACGTGTTTGGGAGGAAGAATGCGAGGGGCGAGGAGGAAGAGGAGAGGAAAAGAAAGGAGGAGAGCAAATGAGAGGACGAATGGCGTGTTAAACATAGCCACAACTCTTTGTATTTCCTTCTACAACTAAATCTGAAAATATGGAAAGCAGAATCTCTAACTCTGTCCCCTAATTAACATACACTACAAGATAACAGGGATATATCCCTTGAAATTATTGAGATCTGATTGATCTTTTTTCCTGGGTTCGGCTTAATATGTACAGGGGATTTGGAGAAGGGAAGGGGGTTGAGGAGGATATGGTTGCGGAGGAGGGTGTATTGGAATAGTGGAGATGGTTTTATGACAATTGAATATACAGAAACGATAGCAATAAAGGCAGTTAGGATAGAAGATTGGCGAGGGAAGTGGGCTGCGGTGGGGAAAGCGGAGGCTGAATCAGGGAGGTCTTATCTCATGGTGAGGAATGGGAAGTGGGTGCTCTTCTTTCTTTTACTGTTGTATTCTCTAATTTTTTTTTAAAATTTTATTTCTGTTCATTTTTTATTTATTGACTGGGGAAGAAGACAGAAAATGGTCGCTTTTGGGCTAGGAACATTAGCCACAAGGTCATATAGGAATTTGGAACCTAGTTAACAATTAATGGCTTATTATTGACAAAAAGAAAAAAAATAAATAAATGACGTGTGCTTAACTTTGACTGATTTTGGGAAAGTCTAATCTTGAATTGCTATTTACGGTAAGTGTGATTGCCAAGTTTATTAGCTCTTCCACAAATTCTCCAGGTGAAATAGGATCGGAAATTATCATATTAATAATGAATGGCTAGTCTATTAACTTTTACTAGTATTACATATTATTGTAATTTTATTTCTTAAGAGACTCGCGCAAAGAAAAAAGAATTCGAGTGGTGGGCGGGGAGCAGTAAATAAGAAATCTTAAATTCAAAATCTATCACTTATAAAAAAAATAAAAATATCAAAACTTCTGAATTATACCTAAAACTATGAAGGAAAAAATATCACAATTTAATCTTTTTGTAGTCAATTATCAATATTTCAAAAAAAAAAAAACAAAGGGAGAGAAGAGGAAATTAAGGGATTTTTTGTCCATTCTAATTGCTTTTGGCTAAATGTCGATATATTTGCTTAACTAAAGCTAATTTGTTAACAAGTAGAACTGTTTCATACAAAGAATGTGATTAAAACGCTAGAAAGATACACGCCGAGATTGAGTCATGGATGCAAGAAAAAGAAATTCAATAAAAACACAAAAAGATAATATATAATGCAGATATGTTCTAAAACCTTTGCTCAGGACTAATTCGACTTTAGTTTGTGGAGGTAATTAAGGCTTTTTTTTTTTTTTAAAAAAAAAAAAAAGGTCCTTTGCTCAAGACTTTGACATGGTAACTTCTGTTAGTACTAAATATATTTGCTTGTATTCCAAAAGTCGGATAACAAGATAAGTATCAAAATTTGGTTGGCATAAAATAAAATACAGAAAGCGAAAGTAAATAGAGAGAAGTGAAGGGTCAACAGAAGTTGCTTGCCTACTCACCAGAATTAATTTTAAATCTGTGGCTTATTATGCGACCCATTCAGCCTTATCTTATGTGAACTCAAACTCCAGTCTCAGTAGTGACACTTGCATCGTCACCAAAGGAGGCGTGGCAGAAAGCATCAGATTTCCCCAATGTTGAATAGATGCTTAGCTTTGCTTCGAGGGAATTGTGCTCCAATACTTTTACCAGAAAATTAAAGAAACAAGATAGTCTTCTTGCTTTCACTTCGATTTGATACAATCGTTCCAAAAAAAAAAAAAAAAAAGAAAGAAAAAAGGGTTCACTTTGAAACCAAACTCACATTCATATATATGATCAGTATAAAATGTTAAAGTCTACAGAATCCAATTTCTCCATTTTCCAATCATTAGTACTAGTTTTAAGTGACGAGAAGGTTTAGCCAGCAACCCTTTTGGTTAGGTGCTAATCAGGATTAATGTGCACTAGCTCCTGCGAAAATATGCTAGGGGCACTTCCGCATGGTATTTGTTAAACAAGATTGTACAGACCCCGTCTGGACAGTCATTTTTCGTCGAAAAATTGGGTCATTTTTCGTGATCACATTTCTCTATTACATTTTTTCCTCACATACATCAAATCGCTACAGTAATTTTTCTACAAAAAATCCAAGAAAATACAATCCAAACAAGGCCGTACTATTGGGAAATCATTGTGTCTAATATCAAGATTTAAATCTAATTAAAGCTTGTAGCCTTTAGTTTGAGGAACGTGCAGTTTAGCCTTTTAGTTTTAATTCTGTAGTTAGGTCAGCGAGCGCATTTCAATAGTCTAAACACTAGTTTAACTAGTGGGAAAAGCACACCTTACGAGTATGTAAATCAAGAAAAAAATTCGTTATTTCATTAAAATAAAAAAAAAATTACTATTAGAAGATTTTCCTTTTCTTACCAAAAAAAAAAAAAAAAGTTATGGATTTTTTTTTTCTTAGGCAAACGGAATTAATAAAAAAGAAGTTGTTGGAGTCAGAAATTACTAGAAGTTACTAGTTATCTTTGCTACATCTTTACTTTTACGACGAGGATAAAATTAAAACAACTCATAGATGGCACAAAAATTAGCACCAACTCATAGACAACAAGCCTTTTTAGCTTCCCCTCCCTTGTGAATTAGGATAGAATAGGTTATATAATTGTAATCGTAAAAAAAAAAAAAAAAAGACAAAGCGAAGATCGAAAGCAATCAAATCTAACCTATAAACCACCGACATGATTATAAAAATTGTTGTTGACCATCTTGTCCCGTGATTTCTATCCAATGTTCACTAAACAAGTGACAAAAGCCATCCTTAAAAAATTTCATATCAGATCTAAATCATCAAACTTGTTCAGATTGTTGTCGTTGTAGCCTGGACGAAATATCGTAGAATAGTCCTAGAGTCTCGTCTAACTAATGTCTGAACAAACGCACTTGTGCCAAAAAACGTGGGGCTTAGAAAAAACCACCGTCACGAAGGTTTTTGTGGTGGAGTGTGCCCTCTCAAAGTTATGAGGGTTTTTAGACTTGGATAACCTCTTGCTTGTATTTTTCATCCAAGATTTTTTAGAATATTTTTGAGAGTAGTTTTAGTTCTCTCCCAATTTTCAATAGTTTAGTTTAGCAATAGATTATATATTGTGTATACCTCTCTGACATTAAGATTCAATTACAAAATAGAAAAGCTTCCAATTATTATTATTATTTTTAATTGGAATCTAAATATAATTATTTTTTCTCTGAAATAGAAAAACTTCCAAATATTATGTTTGAGATACCAAATTTTTCCAACTATTATTTTGCTTACATTTTATAAACACATTTTTTTAATGCGCTTTCCATATTTTCAATCAATTTTTATCTCATATATAACAAATCATAAAAAGTGCTATACTAATTATCCCAAATAATATTTCAAATAATAACAATGTCCATACACACTCATCGATATCATCTGCCATTTCTTCATCTGTGATATATCCATACAAAGCGAAGGCTGTACAAACCAAGAAATTTCTTTATACTCCCACTCAAGACTGTTGGGCATCTTGATCTTGCTTGCATGATGTCCAAGATAACAACTAACATCAACTGAAGACTGACGAGTACAACCTAAATAGAAACCTACCAGTACTAAAAAATGTAATGCCCTACCAATTAATGTTCCTTTGACATGGGAATGCTTTACCTTTTAAAGGGCATGATCAGGACAATTAATGATTTATTACTCCTTGAGTGGCTTTAGCTGCCTGGCACAGACAAAATTTGCATGAAACGCGTTAGGGTCTGGGACCTCATCTGATATGTTTAATTCCGACAGCACACACGCGCGGCCTCTTCTCTGTTTCGTTGATACTTGATAGATATGCGCCCTTGAAGTCATGTTCTGTATCAGCAGTTTAGTACTTCGCCTTTTGAGTTTATTATCAAAATAACTCTTATTCCATGACATATATCGAAAGTAATCTAATTTTAAAATTTATTATTTTCATGATTTTTTTTTTCCCACTTAGGTTGCATATATGCCAGGATGAAGATAGAGACACTTTCCATTTCTCATTCCCATCTAATATCTTTTCCAATTTTCTCTCTAAACCTTTTTACATTTTTATCTTTCCCTTGTCAAACTTAATTCTAAGGAGTCAATATTTATATTGACAGCATCTAAAAAATATTCTTTTCGAATCGATAATCACAAGACAAATGAATATCATTCTCTTGCCTTTTCAAGGAGTAGGAAGAATGACATGAACAAATATGATAGCCTTGAAGTTTTTGTAATTGCTTACAATTTTCGTTGCAATTTTTGTATTTTTAAAATTTATATTTTGAAAAATATATGCAATAGGTCTGATACATTTAGAAAAATTCAGAGACCAATAATAGCAAGGCCAGTAATGGTAGAATTTATTTTAAATAATTATAAGGAAATTATAAAAGTTATGCAATTTTCTTGTGCCTTTATAATAAAAAAATTTAAATTTTTAGTTCATGTCGGAAACTATAAACTAAATAAGAACTTTTCTTTTTATTGTTATCCTACATGACAATCAAAATAACTAGATGGCAACAATAACATCATTATGAAAATAAAATTTGAAAATTTTGTTTGGATACCCCAATTATCCCAAATAATATTTCGCTTGCATCATAGACACATTTTCCAATCCACATTTTTATATTTCCAACCACCTTTTTATCTCACATACATCACATCACAAAAAAGTGTTACAGTAATTATTCCAAATAATATTTCAAATAATACACTATCCAAACAAATATATTTTTTAGCAACAGTACTAGTGTTATTTTGACAAAAAAACTCCCGGCCCTTCGTGGAAGCTGCAGGTTTCCAAGTCCCAGTCACCCATGCGAGCTCTATACACAGCCGTAGGACCATGCGACAATAATTTATGTGTTTTGCTACAAGTGGTGAAAGTGAAGAGACTATCTAATGAGTGAAGAGTATAGCAATTATGGGCCTCAGTCCGTCGTGGTTTCAACAGCTCAAACACAAAAGAATTGGTGGGCCTCGTGGAGCTACAAGTTCCAAGCGCAGTTTGCAATGGATAACACACCAACGGCTGTTGACAAAGGATAACTAGTTAAGTATTTATTTTTCTTTTAAAAAATTTCTTTTTTTTCTTTTAAGGGAGAGAACTTGAACCTAAAACTTATTATTTACGATGTAGATTATACTTAAGTGCTAGTTATTTCTTGTGTTTATTCATAAATTCAAATTTTTTAGGTAACTAACATAAAAATTGGAGCTTGATACTGATATTTGTGAATCTGCTTGAAAGGTGTATTTTTTTTTGAATATTTATATAATTTATTTTACGGTAGCTCCCTTTTTTCAAAACGCACATCCCCGCACGCCCCACTCACACGCACGAAGAATGTTGACGGGGGAAAAAAATATAGCGACCAGCAAAGTAGCAATTATTGCGAGGAAATGACGGGTTAAAGGGGAAAAAAAAAAGGAAGAAAAAAACAAGGGAGTCGCCCGAGCATAGGATCCATTGTAACCGGGTTATCCGGAACATAGCCCATGAAAGGGCTTTACAAAAATTCAAAGCTCTGAAGTCTGGCTCTCTTGTAGGGTTTAAGACACTTCCATGCCTGCCTGCCACAGCTTAAACTTTAATCCCAACTCTCCAGAAACGCTTCAGTTCCTTTTCCATCGCAGATAGAAGCTTATGGGAGCACAGAAATTTCCAGTTTTGTTCCTCTATGTGGCTTATTAACTGCCAATTCCATGTGGTGTGCTTCTACATTCAGGTCAGTTTCCCAAAGAAAACTCTTCGGAAACAGTCAATTTATACGGTCTCGGGCAGTTTCAGCGCTAGCTCAGTTGACCCCATGTTACTCGGACTCAAGTGCTGATGAATCAATTTCAATCCCTGATAAAAGTGGCACTAAAATCGATGATCCTGTTTGGGAGGTAAATTCATGTGGGGTCATTGAAATCCTCAATAATTTGAAAAAAGAACCCATTTCTGCATTGCAAATATTTAGGCAATTGAAGGAGCGAGGTTTTAAGCATGATGTTGGGACCCATGTTGCTATTATTAGGATATTATGTTATTGGGGTATGGATATGAAGTTAGATTCTGTACTGTTGGAGGTGATTAAGTCGAGAAAAGAGCATTTGGGTTTTGATATTTCGGATTTGTTTGAAGCGTTGGTGGAAGGACTAAATGTTGAGGGGTCGAATTTGTTGGCTCGGGCTCTTGAAGCCATGGTTAAGGCGTTTGTTAGTGTGGGTATGTTTGATGAGGCTATTGATACTTTGTTCCAGACGACAAGGCGTGGTTTTGGGGTGTCTTTGTTGGCGTGTAATTATCTGTTGAACCGGTTGGTTGAGTGTGGAAAGGTGGATATGGCAGTGGCTATGTATAAGCAGTTGACGAGGTTAGGTTTGAGTCCAAATGTTTACACTTACGGTATTGTGATTAAGGCATTCTGTAGGAAGGGTACTCTGGAGGAAGCTGTTGATGTGTTTGAGAAGATGGAGGAAGCTGGTGTGACCCCAAATAATTTTACTTATTCCACATATCTGGAAGGGCTTTGCTCACATGGACGATCAGATTTGGGTTATCAAGTGTTGATAGCCTGGAGTAGAGAAAGTGTGCCTATGGATGCATATGCTTATACGGCTGTGCTGCGTGGTTTTGTTAATGAAAATAAACTAAAAGAAGCAGAGGAGGTATTGCTTAAGATGGAGGAGCATGGACTAATGCCTGATCAATTTTGTTATGGTGCCTTGATTCGAGGCTATTGCGAGGTTGGAAATATAATTAAGGCTCTGGCTTTCCATAACGAAATGGCAGCTAAAAATATCAGAACTAATTGTGTAATTGTCAGCTCAATTCTTCAATGCCTGTGTCAGATAGGCATGTTTGGTGAGGCAGTCGATCAGTTCAAGAGCTTTAACGATCTAGGAATTTACCTTGATGAGATTGCATATAATGTTGCAATTGATGCTTTATGCAAACTTGGAAAAGTGGAAGAAGCTGTGAGATTGCTAGATGAGATGAGGTGTAAGAAAATGGTTCCAGATGTTGTGAACTACACCACCTTGATTAATGGGTGCTGTCTTGCAGGAAGAGTTTCCTGTGCATTAGACTTACTTGAGGAGATGGAGCAGAATGGTCTGATGCCTGATATTGTTACCTATAATGTTCTTGCCGGTGGGTTTTCTAGAAACGGATGTGTTAAAGAGGCATTGGACCTTGTAAAATACATGAAAGAGCAAGGTGTGGCACCAAACACCACAACATACAACATGATCATCGAAGGCTTATGTATTGGCGGGAAGGTAAAGGAAGCTGAAAAGTTTTTTACTAGTTTGGAAGATAAGTGTTTAGAAAATTATGCTGCTTTGATTGATGGCTATTGTGAATCAAATCACACAGAAGCGGCCTTTAAACTATTCCTTAGGCTTGCAAAGCATAGAGCTGTGGTAAAAAGAAGTTCTTGTCTAAAACTTCTCAGTTGCCTTTGCACAGAAGGCGAATATAACAAAGCTATAAAGTTATTTGATTTAGTGCTGTCTTCTGTTGAAGGCCCTTGTGAGAAAATGTGTACTAAAGTTATTGCTGCTCTCTGTGGTTCTGGAGATATGAAGAAGGCACGGTGGGTGTTTGATAATATGGTTGCCAAGGGGTTACCTCCAGATGTTATTACCTACACAATAATGTTGAATGGTTATTGTAGGGTGAATTGCTTAAATGAGGCTTGTGATCTTTTTAATGATATGAAGGAGAGAGGTATAACTCCTGATATCATCACTTACACTGTTTTGCTGGATGGATATTCAAAGATTAATTTTAGAAGGGAAAAAAGATTTGGAAAGGAAGGCCAAAAGAAAGACATTTCTCCTTTATTGGTTGAAATGAAGGAGATGAATTTGAAAGCTGATGCCATCTGTTATACTGCTTTAATTGACAGTCATTGTAAATCGAACAATCTTCAAGATGCTATTGACCTTTTTAATGAAATGATTGATATTGGTCTAGAACCTGATACTGTAACTTATAGTGCCCTGCTATGTGGGTATTGTAAGAGGAGAGATGTGGATAGGGCTGTAAGTCTAGTCAATGAGATGTCATTAAAGGGAATAGAACCAGATAGCCACACCATGTCAACATTATACCATGGTATCTTAAAGGCCAAGAAAGTACAGTTCCGGCATAAGAAATCTGCTGACTTTACTGGTATGTTGTTTGAAGTTGGTTAATTGTGTTGCTGATAGCAGTTACCAGTTATTTTAACGAATGTTCTAGCTTTTTTTTTTTTCCGTATTTGGTTATGGCCAAGTAGCCAGAGAAATTTAGCTTGAGGTTGCTGCAGATATGGGAGATTGAAGGAGCAGATAACATATTTGTGGGAAATGGGAATAGCACTGTCTTTGAGGCCTTCTCAAGTCTTACAGTGCCTGATACAGTTGATTTGGCAAGAGGAACAAGCACCACGAAGTTTAGATCACACTTTGCCCAGGAACATTAGAATGTAAAACCAGGAGATCAAGGAGTTCAGATTGCTTACATTCTTGAGATTCAGTGAGCAGGTCAAAAGCAAATTAGGTTAGTTGCTTCTATTTTAATTCAGAGTTTATGCTCCCTTAACTATCTTAAGATATAAACTGAGGATTCTTGTCTAGTCCCATACTTCTATATATAACTTGCATTTGAATGTGTTTCATGGTTGACAATTATGCTCACAGTTGGAAATTCTTTTGGTATGGGAAAGTATTATTTGTTTTACAGCTTGTCTGTGTGTGTTTATTAATTTATTTGTTGGTTTGTTATCTTTCTTCCTTCAGAGCTCTCGTTGTTGTCCCTTCCTGCATGATGTTTTCCACCATTTGAGTACTTAAACAGGTTAAGTTCAATTGCTGAATGTTCTACATTATGGTCATTAAACATAAGGCTGATAAGAGCATTTCCTAACCGTCTTCTGCAATAGCGTATTCCCTGCATGCTAATGTGGTAGTAAATATAATTTGGTTAGTAATGTCAAATATGTCAAAGGAGGAAATAGTTTGGCTAAGGAATTTGCAAATTGATGCTACAGCGCAATTGATTAACTACTTTTCCATTAAATTTTGGATAATATTGGGCCTTTCTGATCTTTGGGGGAGCTTAATTATATCAAACTGACCGGTTAGGTTCTATTTCAGTTATCTTTTTTTTTTTTTCAGTTATACATTAGATTACCTGTGAAGCAAAATATATGAAAATCTGAGTTTCAACTTCTGCCTAGCCAGCAATACAACAACATTTGCCTCCCAGTCTCGTGTGTCACTATCCTTGTCCTTCTTTTAGCAGGTTATTAGATCACAGTGGTTTATGTTGATCAGCAATCCTTGGTAAATTGATAAGAATGCTGATGAGTGTCCCATGCAGCTATTCTATGTAGATTCCATCTTTCAAAGTAGGTAAATTTTCTGCTATTGACAGTTATGTTTCAGCTCGTTTAGAATAATGGCATGAATGCCAAATATAACCAAACCAGGGTTCTTGTGCAGTTGAATTGCTTTTGTCAATCATGACACGCTGATGAGAAACGTGAAGTAAGAAATTCATCAGTTTGAAATCATTTTTTCAGGGTGAGAACATTCATTGCCTTCTTGTGCTTTGTTATTGATTATGTTTGAACCTAAACATGAATATTAGCTATTCAATTCATGATGCCATTTATGAGTATTCTTGTTGCTTAATATTGACAAGTTGTAAGGGGAACAACTTTGTAGCGGATTAGATGAAAGCCCTGCCCTGTCAGACATAGCTGACCGAATTGATGAAGTTAATATTTCCTACTGCAGGAAATTAGGTAGCCTGCAATTATGGCCTTTCTGGAGAGAAATTTCTTTTAATGATGGAGTCAATAGATAGAAGCATAACTTCGAAATGTTATAACCATCCCTAATTTATCCATGAAGGTTTTTTTTCTTATCTGAAAAAGATCAAACTGCAATAGAAGTTGGAAGGTGCAAGAGAAGGTATGCCTTTCAGGTTTGTTGTTGAAAATTAGTTATATTACATCGATAACAACATTGCCTTATGCCAAGTGATTTTGTGTGTTCTTTTAGAATCTAAAAGGAGAAATGCCAAGTCAAGTCAATTGTAAACCCAAGAGTCTAAGGGAGAGACAGTCACGGCTCTTTTCATACATTGTAGTGAAAAATGTAAAGCTTCCTTTTTTTTTTTTAAAAAAAAAAAATAGATGGTGTATATGGTTGTGGAGGTCTTTTTGTTTTTTCCTTCTTATCTTTTGTGATTTTCTGTAACCTTTTGCCGATCAGGGTATATTAGTCTGAACAGTTCATTTAGTGAAAAAGGTTTATGCTCCCTATAATCTGACTAACGTCCTTGTGTTGCCCCGCAGATTCTTATTGGCATTTGATAATAGGCTAGGAGCCTAATACATTGGTTCATTGCATCTTAGATGTGAAATACTGATGAATGACCCAGAATATACATAAGATCATGCCAATCAGAAGCTTGTAAAAACAAATGCATCCACAAGGTTAATCAAGAGACTTGCAAAGCTCTTACCTGGTTTCTGTGTATGACCGCAGGTAAATTAATCTGACTCAAAATAATGCTGTCACAAAACGTTTGACCTTTTTTCTTCCTAATCTGTATCATCAGCCTGATATTCTGAATTTAAAGGCTTTCGCTGCATAATTTCATGACGCGAGGATTGTAAGTGCCCTGATCAATCCTAACCCGGAATCTTCATACTGTTGCTCAGATATTGGAGCATCATGTTTCTGATATTTCTGGCTGGCGGATGCAAATGTTTTGTGCTTCTGCTGGAGGATTAAAGTAGTATTTTAAAGACTTCGGCTATCATTTGGCCAAGCTGAAGCTTGGATATCCTTCAGCAATCTGCTAGTCCTCCGTCCTAGTTATGTTGTTATTTGTGCATAGCGATGGCTGACATCGGTAGAAGCTCAAAACCTTGCACATACTGCATCAACTTCCCTCACAAGTTAGTATAGAAGTCCATTGTACCTTGCAATACGAAAATGAGTTTGAGAAAGATAACAGGATTCTCGTGTTGTTGATTCTGTTTGTTAATGTATGGGGATTGTACTTTCAAGGCATCAAATAAAAGAGTTTCCGATCTTCTATAGCTCTCTGTCGAACTTCCCCCAACTCTCCCGGTATAGGACATTGGAGTTCAAGGTGTGGATGGAAAAAGTATCTCTGTATTTGGACTCCCCGTGAGCTTCTTGAAACAAATGCGTAAAGGTTGTCGATTGCCAGTCGAAAACGAAACCTGTTTGGGACCTCAGTTTTTGGTGAGTTTTTTTTTTCTACGAGTTTTTTAACAATTTTAATTACACAAAATTTCAAATAACTCTCCAAAATTTTTAAAATAAACATCTCAAAATATTCAGAACTCTTCTTTTGTTTCTTCTTCTTACTCCCCTACCTCATTGCCGCCACCACCACCACCACCACCATTGTAGGTGCTGGCTGCCGGTTGCTTCTCTGTTTTTTTTTGCACTTCATCCTCTCTCTCTTTCTCCTCTCCCCCTCCTCCTCCTTTTCTCTCTTCTCCCTCACCTTGCTCCCTTAATTGGAGTAATGGCAGTGGCAAGGAGGAAGAAGAGGACAGGAAAGAAAAAGAAAGGAAAAAATGAAAAAAATAAAAAAGTTTCTCAATTCCTTCACGAAAGTGTTTTTATAAATTCTACAATATGTTATATAAAAGTTTTACATAAATACCTACGAAATACACTTTTCAAAAGGGTTCAAAATCAAAATAGTAGATATTTCTTTTCACGTTATTATTTGTAACTACATCAAAAGTAAACACTTTCCAAACAAACGGGCTCAAGATCACACCTCTCGTAAATGGAGGAATACCTGAGACTTCTTCATTTTTACTAGTGTGGAGCTTGTCCATGACCAATTATATTTTCATTTATTTTTACACTTTAAAACTAAAAAAAAGGGATAACATTATATTCTATAGGTACTATAGATTTCAAAGTTCATATCAGAAGGTCGTAATAGAAGATTCTAGACGCTTGAGAGTTAGCCAGCAGACAGCAAATCTGGACCGTCCAAATTCTTCGCCTCAAAATAAAGCCACAAATCTCACCTTCAACGAACCCTCTCGGCTCTCTCTCTCCCTCGCTCTCGATCGTCGTGGCTCGCTAGGCCGCTAATTTTACTCCGTCCGCCAGCTCCCAAGTCAACACTCGACCGTCAATCCCTCTAGGGTTTCCGTCCGTACGCTCTTTTCTTCTCCTCTGTCTTGGACATTTTCACGATTGGTGTGTTAATCGACCAATAGATCGGTAAAATTCGGGGAATCTTTCTTGATTTCTATCTAATTTTGTGAAATTGTTCGTGATTGAAGGAGTAGATCGAAGAACAAGATGTTTGGGAGGGCGCCGAAAAGGAGCGATAACACAAAGTACTATGAGGTATTGGGGGTTTCCAAGAACGCCTCCCAAGATGATCTCAAGAAGGCTTATCGTAAAGCTGCCATCAAGAATCACCCTGATAAGGGAGGAGATCCAGAAAAGGTATAATCTTGTTGCCTGGTATTTTTCCCATTTTCTTTTCATTCTTTATGCTGTTCTTGGGTGGAGTGGGTGGGAGGGTGGGGTTATTTGTTATTTCTAAATGGGCCCTTTTTTCATTTATGCCTCAGTTTTGCTGGTACATGTGAACATATATTGGCTTTAGGAACTCTTTAATTTTTTGGTCATTAACAGAAAGGTCGTAACTTTGCCTATTCAAAGTCTGGACATAGTAATTGAACACGATTTCCTTACTGGTTTTATGGTTTAGAGCATACTTTTTTGCTCCTTTATTATTTTGGTTTGCTCTATAATGATTCTGGATGACTCTGAATATGCTGTTGTTTCAGTAACAATACATCAAATATTGTTCACTTACTAATTGCTTGCCTTTCACTAAATTATTGTATTTCATTTCCATGTTACTTATTACCATTTCGTTCGTTTCTGCAAACCATCTCTGGAAGTGCATAAGCTGCTTAAGTATTTCTTCTTGAAAAGGTTAAATTCACGTCATTTTGGTTTCTAATAGGTGTGTCAAAGTACGAATTTTTTGTGCCCGAATGTGAAACAGTATATCAATAATTTTCTGCTATAGGTGGTCACTTCTCACAGCATTGGGTGATGGTAGCTTTAACAAGAAGTATTTTGTGGTTTCAGTTTAAAGAGCTAGCTCAAGCCTACGAGGTACTTAGTGACCCAGAGAAGCGTGAGATCTATGATCAGTATGGTGAGGACGCATTGAAGGAAGGAATGGGTGGTGGAGGTGGTGTCCATGATCCATTTGACATCTTCCAGTCATTCTTTGGTGGTAGCCCTTTTGGTGGTAAGTGGCTGATTGGGGATGACATTGGACATCCAAATTGACTGGCACTTGTGATGCATGATGACAATCTCTTGAATTTTCTCATATGCAGGAGGTGGAAGCAGCAGAGGCAGAAGGCAAAGAAGGGGAGAGGATGTCATTCATCCTCTTAAAGTTTCTTTGGAGGACCTGTACAATGGAACCTCTAAGAAGTTGTCCCTCTCACGAAACGTGTTGTGCCCAAAGTGCAAGGGGTGAGTAATACAACTGGTCACCATTGTATTTTGCTGCTTAATGATGGTTTACCCAGTTATTCTGATATGGTGTAATTTACTGAGTTTCAGCAAAGGTTCTAAATCAGGTGCTTCAATGAAATGTTCGGGCTGTCAGGGGTCTGGGATGAAAGTTTCTATTAGACAGCTTGGTCCGTCGATGATACAGCAGATGCAGCATCCTTGTAATGAGTGTAAAGGTACTGGTGAAACTATTAACGACAAGGATCGCTGCCCACAGTGCAAGGGTGAGAAGGTTGTGCAGGAAAAGAAGGTTTTGGAAGTTATCGTAGAGAAGGGTATGCAAAATGGGCAAAAAATTACATTCCCTGGTGAAGCTGATGAAGCAGTATGCTCTTTCTGACAATTTTTTGCTTTATTGTCTATATCAATACTGAATGACTATCTGCTTGTGTAGATTTAACTGGATTTTACTTTGCAGCCGGACACAGTTACTGGGGATATTGTCTTTGTCCTGCAACAGAAAGAGCATCCAAAATTCAAGCGCAAGCATGATGACCTGTTCTATGTGCACACTCTCTCCCTGACTGAGGCTCTTTGCGGCTTCCAATTTATTTTGACTCACCTGGATGGCAGGCAACTTCTTATTAAATCCCAGCCCGGAGAAGTGGTCAAGCCTGGTAGGTCCCGAATAGTTTACTGACCATTTTAGTCTGAACCAATTGTCTGAAGAAACAACTCCTTAATTCATCCGTACTTCCTTTTTACTAAATAGTCACTGAACATTCGAAGTTCTTGATGTATGTCAGCTTTTCACCTTTTTGATTGTTTCATTGGTAAATGCTCATGCTGATGCTACTCTCCTTGTTTGTTGAACTCTTGGTAATAAGTGGATTCGTTAAGATGCTGATGGTGACAAGTAATCCTTTAATTGTATGAATGGAAGAAATCCACATATATACTAGATGCTTTAGCCCATTAACCCATCCTTGTTTTGGTGTTACTATAGATCAATTCAAGGCAATAAATGATGAGGGGATGGTGGTGTACCAGAGGCCATTTATGAGAGGTAAATTGTATATTCAGTTTAATGTGGAATTCCCGGACTATCTGGACCCTGAGCAGTGCAAGTCTCTGGAGGCTGTGTTGCCACCAAAGACCACAAAACAAATTACTGACATGGAGTTGGATGAGTGTGAGGAGACCACACTACATGACGTGAACATTGAGGATGAGATGCGTAGGAAACAACAAGCGCAAGAAGCATACGAGGAAGATGAAGATATGCATGGTGGTGCTCAGAGAGTGCAGTGTGCCCAGCAGTGAGTTGGGAGGAAAGTGGTAGAAAAAGGAGCCAAATCCAGGAGATGAGCGAGGAATCAGTATTTTATTAAAGCTTTAATAGGTTTGTTGAGGCAATGACATTTTGTACAATGTTTGTCCTCAATTTAATTAGAATTAGATTTGCTAGTTAACTATTTGTAACTTTTGCATTTCTTTGCAAACTGATACTGTATCCAATGTTCACAGTGGACCATTGTGATTCAAAACGCGAGTTTGATATGCGGTTTACATGCTTTTGTTTTATTCTATCGCAGCAGCGGGTGTTAGGAATGTGGATATTTAACATCGTGCATTGTGTGGTAGTAAAGCCAGGTAGGTCCTTGTTAAACCAGGGGAAGATCCAAATTTATTCTGTTGCTGCTGTGGCTTTACTCCATTAGTTTTGTTCTTTCCTTGTTGTTGTTGTAGGAGTATGAACGGTACTCTGCTTTAAATCCGATGAACAAGAACGGTTGCAGCGAGGCATTGGGTGTGGTGAATAAAGGTAGCAGTTTGAGGTTTGGGCCCCACAAATTCAGGTGCAATTAACCTCACTCACAGCCATGTTTATATTCTGAAGGTACACTGCAGGCATGGGGGCTGTGAAATCGCGTCTGATGTGCTGCCGAACTTGCGGTCCAGTGGCTTCACTTTCTAGTCTCAGGGTCATCCATCCTTGTGACAACATGGGCGTTTTTTTCTTTTTTTTGGGCCGCGATTTATCGTTGTTTATTTGCTCGCCTATACTCTTTCCTCTTTTTTATGGTGGTTTAAATGAAAAATCAAAATTGAAAAGCATAGTCATGGTGGTTAATCTTTCTGGCTGAGGAGCACCTTCTGAATCTCTCTGTCCCTGGACTGCGACCTTCCCCCGGTGTTGTGTTGTTTGCATGACAAATCTTGATCCTTTGTCCTTTAGAAGCCCAACTACATGTCACGTTCTGATGTTCAACTGGCAATGCCATCCACTAAACCTTCTGCTAATGCAAAGCAGCTTCGCGAGTCTATTATGAGCTCTCACGGAAATCTCGGCTTTAGGTAGGTGGCTTTTCCTTTCCACAGAAATTTAAGTCATAAGCGTAGTATTGGGACGTGGCGATTTTTTAGTATTTTTGGTTTGAGCTGATTGAAAACACACACGTGTTCCACATGCATGCATGCTTTTTTCTTCAGTGATACAGACGACGTCGGAACATAATCGTATATTGCGTAATCAATCAAAATTTGGGGTTAAGCTAGTTGGTTGGATGAAAGTGGCTGAATGAATTGTTTGAATCAGTTGGAATCTAGCCCTTGTTCAAAGTGCTTTCCCCTTCCCCAGTTTATATTAATTGTACAGATTAGTATGAAATTTAGTAGTAGTAGTTGTTGTTGCCTATGACGAATGCAGCTTATATAGTGCATGTGCAAACGTTGACGAAGCCAATGCCAATCCAACTCATCGGCTGTTATTCACACACTATAGTACATGTGCATTGCTGGGGTCAACCAAGTTTAGGGAATGGAGTACTGTACTGCTAATTCTATAGACACGGATACATTCATAGGAGGAGAATTGTGACTCAAAATGAGAGATCACATTCATGCATGTGGGGGAAGGGGCTATCTGTATGCTGCCTTAAATTTATTCACGCCAAGATAACACACACACACACACAAAGGGGGTACATGCCATCAATCAAGAACCAGGACTCATTATTCTATTGTTTGCTTACAAGAAATGCAACTAATAAACGCTAAAATATAAGTAACTATATATGGTAATGAATACCCACTATTCACTTGTTAATTCTGCTTCACAAGTCATATTCTATATTTGTTGCAGTAGCAAGGGCTAGATATGATAGTTTACTTTAGAAGCCTGACAAGAATGAATGAGGTCTTTCCTTTTAATGGTTTAAAGCTGTCTAGTTGCCTCGTCGCCTGCTTGGCTTGGAAGAGAAGTCGTTTGGCAGGATGTCACCGGTTTAGTCTACAATTGTTTTGCTTCTTAATTCTCTCTTGACTTGGTTGTGATCGAGCAATATGTGCAAATAATAGAAGCAAAGTGCTATTTTTTGCATATTGCGTTTTAGAATCTAGATGTGGACTTCCATTGCATTAATATGGGCCAGAAAAGTAACTAGTAGTAAATTTGGTTAATCGCCAGAAGAGTGAGTCAAATGCCTAATTGTATGTATCCAGATAATGTAAAATTTGTGATTGCAATTAGAAATACCAAGGTTTGTTTTTAGAAATACTATACAACCTAAGCACCAAATTCCATTAGAATGCATGAGAAAAGGAGTCCCTTTCAGTTCATTGACTTTGAACAGTCGGGAACATTGCAGATTAGATCTGATGGAATATATACAAGCGCACTTGCCATTTAAACACGCAAAATATTGACCCTTCATCTCCATCCAATCAAAAGATACATTACTAGTCAAGCTACAAGCTTGTGCAAAATACATCCAGTGACGGTGATCGTCTTCTTTTTCTTTCACAAACACAAACACCTTCACCTCTATCCTTAATTTCTCCTCTTCCAAGAATCTTAATTTCCCTCCTTTACCAAACAAGTCTGCCTGATTAATCCTTTCCATCATCTACCCTTTTTTTCTTATATATGTATATATTTTAGTAAACGTTACTTTTTCATCTCGAAAGGCAGGCTTAGGTTTCAGAGAAGAAAATGAATAGCACCACAGTGGACAACTCTAGTAGTCGTCGTTCAAATAGCATCAATTTCAGTAAGGGTGCTATTGATGATGTAGCCTACAGCATCGGATTTTCACTTCTACTCCTTGTTGTATTAGTGATCATATCCTACATCTCCTACAAATGCAACCGGCTGTCTTCTTATTCCAGCACCGCCAACTTCTCCTTCTACCGAACCCATGATGATGATTCAATCACCGCGCAGCAGCTAGGCGGCCTGGATAAGGCGACCCTTGTGAATTACCCAAAATTGTTATATTCTCAGGCTAAGCCTCACAAAGGAGATGATCCCGCTGCTTCAGCCTGCTCAATCTGTTTGTCTGATTATAAAGAAACTGACATGCTCAGGCTGTTGCCCGACTGCGGCCACATCTTCCACCTCAAGTGTATTGATCCTTGGTTAATGCTTCATCCCACTTGCCCAATCTGTCGCAGCTCGCCGCTGCCAACTCCTCTTGCAGAGGTTGTTCCCATGTCTATGCATCAAAATTGAAAATTTTTTTTTTTAATTACTATTCTTTTGACATCTCCTTCCCTTCTTTCTTCTGTACATACGACAGAATTAAGGGAAATACTCCTTTAGGACCCAATTTTGGGTTTGCTCACAAGTCTCAGCTCAGATTCTGCGGCGTAATTGTGTACGATTACTACAAGAAATAAATTGAGTATAGTAATCTCAGTGAACATGGGGCAAAGAACAATGTTTTTTTTTTCCCCGTTACATAAATTCAATAGTTGCTTAATTGTGTTTTAAAGAATCACATAACACCATGCTGCTGTTGGCTACCCGGCACTTGCTTTTTTTGCCGGCAACTGTCGAATGGCGTAAACAGTTTCAAAGAATGTTTTTGCGATCTCAAAGAATGCGTTTGGCAGTACAAGCTAAAGGAGGGCTGTAGCAATCATTTAGCGAAGCCTAACATTTGGAATAGGAAATTCGACAGCAGGCCTAATTTGCAAGAAACGACTTGATGAAAACGCATGAGAGTTAATGATAAAACGTCCTTCTCATGACTTGTTGGTTAGTGGCATAATTGAGTTCTAAATAATGATGGTAAGTTGTAACCACTCTGGGATCAGGGACCCCTAATTCTTGGGCATGACATAGATGTGGTGAGATACATATTATATTAGGCAAGCAACAAAAAAAAAAAAAAAAAAAAAGGTACAAGGTTAATCTGTCGTTGGACTCTTGGTTATTCACCTTGCAGCGTTGTTTCGACTCTTGGTTATTGGGAATTGGCTGAATAAGCAAGGATCCACAGGCCATTTGGCTGTTGGCGCATGAAAAATCCGACCAGCAGAAGAAGACGTGCATTGTCTGAAAAAACTCTGGTTAAGGGCAGTCTCCAAAAGTATATCGTTTTAAAAACTGCCATATCATATGGTTGGCAGCCACAGGATGGGAGACTTTTCTCAAAATTGAATATCGAGACTTATTACAAAATCATCATATAAATTGTAATGAATCCGACATTTTAGGAAAATGTCGACAAAGAATTCGATATTTCTGTCAGCAAATATATGAAATGGAATATGTATTGAGTATCCTTGTTCAGAAAACGGCGGTTTGACTTCTGCAAATACTGACTAAGCTGGAAGCAACTAGCCCGAAGCTATCTTCTGTTCTGTCCACCATCCAGGGAAAAAAAAAAGGCAGATGAAGAACACACCCGCCCCGATTATACGCTGATGAACCCTGTTTTTTTTTTTTTTTTTTAAGAAAATTATGCAGTACTCCTTAGCTGTTTCTGGACAACAAATGCTGATTTAAATCGTTTCTACAAGTCAAACTCTATATCAATTCTCTAAATCAATTTCTTGTGAAATGCGCCATACGAAATCATCATCCTTTTTTTTTACTATTAAATACGAGAATCCCAACGAAGCCATTCTCCCTTTTTTCTCTCTTCTTCATCCTCACAATCTCACGTACAACTCCTGAAAAAAATCTCTCCATTCTTGTAAAATGAATAGCACATCAGAGGCAACCAAAGATGAACCCAGTGATAATCAAGGTCCAGAAACCGTTGGACCCTATGGCTATAGCATTGGAATTTCTTTTGGGATCCTTCTAGCTCTCATAATCATCACATATTGTTATTACATCTACACTCGCTTCCGTTCCAATACTAACAACAGAAACCACCCCTTCCTTCGCAGAAACTCCATGAATACTACTGCAGCCTCTTTCTCTGTCAATGATGATTCAGCGAGCATCCCACAAGGCTTAGATGAAGCCACCATACTTTCATATCCAAAACTCCTCTATTCTCAAGCTAAGAATCCTGAAGGTGCCGGCACAGCTTCAGGCTGCTCAATTTGCTTGCAGGACTACAAAGATACGGATATGCTCAGACTGTTACCTGAATGTGGGCATTTTTTCCACCTCAAGTGCGTTGATCCTTGGTTAAAGCTTAACCCCACTTGTCCAGTCTGTCGAAATTCACCAATGCCATCTCCCCTGGAACATCCTCTCGCTGTGGAGAATATGGTTCCCTTATCTACAAGATAGATGGGTAGATAGAGATAGAAAGAGGCATAGGATTATCAGGTTTGTGTTTAGAATTTATGGTTAAGATTATCAGGTTTGTGTTTAGAATTTATGGTTAAGTGATATATATTCAAGAAAAATTGAATATGTAAGATATATGGTTCCCTTATCTACAAGATAGATAGATAGATAGAGATAGAAAGATGCATAGGATTATCAGGTTTGTGTTTAGAATTTATGGTTAAGATTATCAGGTTTGTGTTTAGAATTTATGGTTAAGTGATATATATTCAAGAAAAATTGAATATCTAAGTTTCAATGGCAATCAAGATTTTTATCATTCCTTCGTCTTTTTTGGTCCTTTCGTTTCTCCTTGCATGCTATACTAAATACTGTTTTTGCACTGTTTAAGGGTTAAGTGCATGAGACAGACCTCACAGTGATAGATACTTGAAATTTGCATCAGATCATTTAGGTCTATACGTTTCACTAATCCAACTTACATTGCTGTGCTTAAGGTACAAGTTGTACCGAAGTTTGAATCTTTGGTGCAGGCAGTAGCAGCAAAGAACTTGTACTAATTTGAACATCAGAATTTCTGAGAGTGTAGATTGATGCAATTAAAAAGATGAAAAAGAAAACCTAATTAACAATGGCCAAAGTTTCCTTTTATGAAGAAATAAGCAGAGAGGACAAGAAGCAATTGCCACCTAATTAAGTAACGGAAACAAGAAACTGCTTCCCTGAATAATTGCAAATTATGGGCCACCAATAAGGTCACACCAACCAGATGAACTTGCCTGATGTATTTACTAAAAGTGTTTCTGCCCTTCCAAAGTATACACACAGTCCAAAATCTCCAATTCATAATTTTTTGGCTTGTCCAACGTCCGTAAAAGCTATCCTCAGATAAAATGAAAAAGTAAGCCAAACAAAGAAAGCCAGCCCAAACAGACTGCATCATTGCAACATTGATCGCCAGCACTTTTCACCGTGACTAATGAGACAGACAAATCCGTCATACTTGTAGGCGCCTGAGATGAATATGGTGTCATAGCAGGTGGTGGCATTTTAGATGCATCCGGTGAAGGCTGGGAAGACTTTGGCGGTCTTTGAGATGAAGTTGGCGCAGAATGTGGGGAATTTTTCTCACTATGGACGGCAACACTAAGCTTTTGGCCTAATGCACAATAATTTGCAATACTGCATACGAAATAAAACACACCTTCCTCCATCAATGCAACACTTGCCGGGCCATCCCATAAAACCTTAAAGGGATTGTCTGCACTGCAACTCTCGTACTCTCTTCTTGACACTTCCATCACATTATGAAGCCCAGAATCAAAGTCAAAATCTGCATAACCCCAGAAAAAAGAAAAACAAAAACAAAAAAAGCCGCGTATCAGTGCCAGGATTAAAGTGTCGTAGCCTCAAATTGAAATGATTGATTCTCGAATCTCAATCTGTACAAGTGACAAGTCATTGCATTTACAGAGAGTGTCTCCTGTCTGGAAAAAGTGGGAAGAAGACCAGTTAGTATAGAAGTCATTGGTTGTGGGGATGGACCAAAAGGAGTCTCCCACAATGTATTCTAGGCCAAAAGACTGAATCAACAGTGAAGGAAGAATGATGAATGCTGGTGAAATTAAAAGGCGGGTAGGCATTTTTCGATCTTGGATAAGAATTTTATTTGTTCTTTGCCAAGAGAACTAGTGAAGCGGTTAAGTAGTTCGTCAGATTTGGAGAATACGAAAACGAAAAGTCGGGATAGTAAATGCCAAGGGATGTAACGGCTAATCAAGACCGTCCCCATTTACCCTTGCCGGAATAAAATCCAACATGAAAATTTGCAGGGCTTTTGTCTCCTCTAAACAAAATTGACATAAACGTTGAGGATGGGGTAACCTGAAAATGTATCGCTAGTCTAACCGGCCATTGCGATGAATAGGTGCAGATTTAAATTAGAGTGAACCAGAGTTAAATGGGGTTATGGGCCAATTAATGCAGATGATTGCATAACAAACTCTAAAGAAGTGGAGACAAATTAAGCATAAATGGTTGGGCAAGAATTTCCCCTCTGCGAATGGTTAGACGAGGGCTATTTTATTCTTTAGCCAGACCTGTTTTCATTAGCATAAAGAGTTCTTACTCAAAACTATTTTCATGAATAAACATAAAAGTTCGATTCATATTAATTGCCTGCTTGAACTGTAGAAAGTTGTACGCAATAATGCCTAGTATATAATCTAACAACAAATAGTCTAAAACTTCATTACGAGATTGGGTTACTGTGTTGTGTTCCCTCCATAGTTTTCTCCGAAACAGCAGTGATAGCCCATAACCTTGCAAGCACAAGTATAATCGATAACAAATATTCTAATATGGAGACCTAAATTTCTAATAAGCTCAAATTTTAGTCACAACCCCGACACCAGTGCCCTACTATACCCATGGTTTTCTTTCAAATTCGTTTTTGGTTGGGGGGGGGGGGAAGAGAGGTGTCTTTCTTTCTTTCATTATTTCCCTGTAATCTGTAATGAAAGAGCTTTTCATTAATTCCAGGCATTTCTTAACGTACGTGCACAAGCAAAGGTCAGAGGAAAAGGTTACGAATGATTAAAGTATGATGACTGACTCTCAACTTTAAAGAAGAGAATGACGGTGACTTCCGGCAAGGGAAAGGAGGCCAAGTGAATCAGAATGTTCTCCACATGTATCACATTGACAATAATGAATTGACTCTAATTTTTCCCATAAACCATGAATGATTTCTGCTGCTTTCACTTTTCTCCTGTTTAAATCTTGATATTTTCGGTTGCTGCAAATTTATGATTTCCAAGTATATCAGTCAAGTATAGTACTAGACAACCAGAACACATGCCAATATTTAATTCCATCAATTTTTACTTAACTCACAAAATGCTTCCTGTTTTGATGTTTTCCTTTTTGGATTACATTTCATCTCCTCTGCAGGCTGCAGCTTAAATTGTAAAGCATATCTGAATTAGGTGAGACTCAAGAAGTGGGAAGGGAAAATGAAGGATGTGAATCTAGAACTTCTAAATCTTGGAATTTTGATGTTTGTCAGTAAGCTAAAACCTTCTTGAATTATGTAAATCTTACAAAAAAGGTTTTAAGAAAAATGAGACAAAGACGTGTTCCCAGAAATTTTTTTTAATAAATAAAGAAGATTTATTAATGAGGGTGTTAGAAATTATCCAGCATGATTTGTTTAACAAAGTCCATAGAAGATCGCTAGATTTTGCATAAGAAGCCAATTTATTAGCTTCTCTTAGAATCCAATTTCCACTGGCATAGTTTCGGTCCAACAATGACGTACGAACATCACCAATTTCAGGGCCTATAATAGAAAAACATCGTCTTTATCTCTAATATGCTGGAAAATCGATGATGCATCACCATCCTTCAGGGACAGAATAGAGCCACGGAAATTGATCATCGGTATTCCTAGGAGTTAATCCGTTCAAAGGAAACCCACGAAGGGACTACCAGTACCATACATTTAGAAATTTACCGCAGCATTAGAAGGTTTTGGACCAAACTCAGAAGAGACCTGTAAGCGCTGGAAACCCCACACATAGTATAGTACCCATACAAGGCTCTCTAGCCCATGGTACAAGTATATGGGCCTAGTACCTAGTAGCAGAAACCTACTTTCAGTGGAGCCCAATCGAAGATGGAACCAGGTCCAGCTATCGTTGGCAACACCTTCTCCCACCTAATCATTTTGAAATTTTAAATTGCCAGAAGAAATTTTAGCCGTTAAACAGCTTTCCTTTCTCATCTCTCTCCTTCTCCCAGTCTGCAACGCCTGAAAGAATCAAATTACAGTTATAACTCCTGCTCCTAATCTTTCTCTCATCCTTTTTACAGACGCATTTTTCCACCTTTAAAATTTATCCAATTCACTTTATTCTACAAAGGATTCTGCAAACAACAATTTAGAGGGGAGAAAAGATGAAGTCAATGAAAGGAAAGCTGCTCAAGAAATTGAAGACCATTAAAACAATTGGTTACCCGAAGCCAGATAGGATCCTTCAGGTCAGTGCAGCAGATGGGTACGTTCCTGATTCACCTCCCAATTCAGCTATCAAAGCTCAGAATCAGTCTGTGCGGCTTCAAGAAGAGACCAAGAAGATTATTCAGAGAACTGTTCGAGATCAAGAACCTGAGATTATTGATGTTTCGGAGCTAATGAAAGATCTTGAGGATCACGAGATGGAGATTGATGACGACGACATCAATGATAAAGAGAACATTAGGCCTCAATCAAGCGCAAAAAATCCATTCTTTAACACGGAGAACCTGGAGAGCTTGAGCCCTTTAAAGCAAAAGAACGACTCTTCGGTGCGGAAAGAGTTGAGGGGTGAAGATACAAAAGCTGCGCCCCTAGCTGAGATCAATGGGTCTAATTTCAGGAGGCCGAATTTGGATTCTGGAACCCTCTTTGATCCCAATCTTCTTGAAGCATTCGAGCAAGCAGTCATGGAAGTTAAAGCACAAGAAGCAGAGAGAAGGGCTAAAATAGAGGAAAAAATTTGGCAAGGTATCGAGGAAGAACCGCCTCTAAAAGCTCGAAAAATTGAGGAAACTGCTGATCCTTTATTAAATTTTGAAGAGAAGTGTCCACCAGGTGGTTCTGATTCGGTGATTCTGTACACGACAGGGCTTAGAGGGATTCGAAAGACGTTTGAAGACTGTCACAGTATTCGATTTTTGTTGGAAAATTTCCGAATTTTGTTCTTTGAGAGGGATATATCAATGCATTCAGAGTTTAGGGAAGAGTTATGGCAGATATTTGGTGGAAAAGTGGTGCCTCCCAGGCTGTTTATTAAGGGGAGGTACGTTGGTGGAGCAGAGGAGGTTTTGGGACTGCATGAACAGGGAAGGCTTAGGCCATTGCTCGAAGGAATTCCTATTGACTCCTCTAACGGGCACTGCGAAGGATGTGCTGGTGTAAGGTTTATCATGTGTTTCAACTGCAACGGAAGCCAGAAAATCACACCGGAAGATGGGGGTGGTGAGTCCATCAACTGTCCACAATGTAATGAGAACGGATTGCTCATATGCCCCATGTGTTGTTGAATTATTGCATGGTCTTATTCTTTGATTGGCTTTGGACTTCTTAGTGCAAGTCGGAAGTTAAAAGATGGGGGTCCTCTGGTTCATGTAAACTGTAAGGGATCAGAAGTGAA